GGGCCAGAGCTTCTGCTTCACGTTGCTGGGTGCGGGGAAGGGGGGGCGTTGAAGGCAAAGCCCAGTCCTGGGGTGCCCTGACACCCCCGGGCAGGATGCCCAGGCCTGGTGCTGGACCCCCCCCCACCTGCCCCAGGAACAGCCCTTACCTGTAGAGGGAGGGGAAGGTGCACCGCAGCCCCAGGAGCACTCCTGTGAAGAGCAGTGGCACCACCGTAACGCTCGGGATGATCCAGCCTGCATTGGAGGAGGAATGCTGGGACTGTTGCCCTCCCCAGACCTGCCACCACTGAGCCCTTATGGCCCCGTCACCCTCTGCCTGGCGCTCCCCATCCCATTTCCAGCACTCTCTGTCTCCTGCCCTTGGCCACGTGGCTCCTCTGGCTGTAGCCACCGTTTCAGCCCTGTCCCTTACCTGCATCGGCCATGGCGTCAACCATGACAGGTTTGGACCAGGCGCTCCAGCTGCCCTGGTACCATGGCCCGCTGGGCTGGGCCCGCACCTGGGCACGGTATCGGACGCCTGTCCGTAGGTCCAGGACTTCCTTCTGGGCTGCCCGTGGAACCTGCAGGACCTGCAGGGCAGAGCTGAGCTGGAGATGACGGCTGCTATGAGATGGCCGAGGGGCAGCGCTGGGGTGCAGGTCCGTCCTACCTGACCCCGCATGGGCCATGTACTGGCAGCAGAGGTGAGCAGGGCTGCTCGAGGGAGCCCCGGCCATGCCCTACCTTCCAGTCATGGCTGTTCTCCACAGCGTAGCGGACCTGGTAGTCCAGCTGCTCCGCAAGTGCCTCCAGGGGCGGCAGCCACTGCAGGCTCAGCCGACCCTGCAACACTGTCGCCTGCACGACCTGTGGGGCGTCTGTGAGCACTGTTGGGGATGGGGACACGTCACTGCCATGGACACGGGACACTGTGTCCCCCACCAGCTGGGCAGGGGCTGCTGTGGCACTGGGACTCACCAGCCTGGTGCAGCCAGAAGGGCTCCTTGAAGTAGCTGAGCGTGGGTGGCGCATGGGGCCGGGTGACATTCACCAGGACAGAGATAGCGCTGCCAGCCCTGGGCTGGAAGGTGCAAGTGTAGGTGCCCTGCACCCCCATGTTCTCCTCCTCACACTGCTGCCACGCATCTTCCCTGCGCAAGGAGCAGGGAGCCAGTCAGCCCGACCATGGCAGCCCTGCTCCCCTCGCCTGCTGCAACCCTGCTCTGGGGCCACCCTGTCCCCGCAGCTGGCACTGCTTCACTCCTGCCCTTGCCCAGGAAAGCCAGTGCTGCCCGTAGTCAGAGGGGCAGCGTGGCCGGGAGCGGTGGTGGGGAGGTGTGAGGTGGTAGGGTAGGGCAGGGCACAGAGCCAGGTGGCACAGTGTGGGATGTGGGACACCGAGCAGGGTTGGTGGTTCCTGGGATGTGCTGCCCCTCCACCTGAGCGCCATGTCCCCACCATGCCCCTTACCTTGTGCCAGCCCCGCTCGGAGGTGCCTGGTAGAAGAGCTGGTGGGAGCTGCTGAGCTCTGTGGGGTCCCAGCTCCACTCGCAGCGCACATGCCGCAGGTCAGGGGTGCTGCAGCACAGCCCAATGTCTCCTGGGCAGGTGAGAGCCAGGGCAGAGAGGGGGCTGCTTACCCCCAGCCCCCCAAAACCTGGGTGCTGCACCTTGTCTACCCCAGGACCCCCACCCCTCACAGCCCCAGGGATGGGTGCCTGCCCACCATGCCACCCAGCGCCCTGGCAGTGGGGATGGCTGCTCACCGGAGGAAACTCTCCAGCCACTTCCTGCGACCAGGGCCCCCAGACGCCATCCATGGAGGTGCCGTCGGGCTTGCTGCGCACCTGGATGTGGTACCTCATCCCTGGCCGCAGGTCCCGCAGGACCACCCATGTGGTGGACTGGACCAGCCCCTGCAGGAGAGGGGCCAGGCTGGGGAGCGGCTGCGGCCCCCAAATCCCCCTGCCCAACCCTGGCCTCCCTATGTACCTGCCCCACTCCTGGGGAAGCTGCAGCTGCCCCAGCTGTGGATGTGTGGGAGCTGCTGGCTGGCCGGATGGAGGGGTCCCCAGGGTGCTCCCCACCAGGGTCCAACACGGTGCTGCAGGGTGTCTCTGGGGAGCTGGCAGGGCAGCACCGCACCTCGTAGAGGAAGAAGTTCACGTAGTCGGCGAGCAAGACACACAGAGCTGCCCTGCAGCCCCGGCCCAGTGGGCTGTGATGTTCACCGGGGGGGCGATGAGACCTGTGGGGAACATGCCGGGGCATTTGCCCTCCTTCGGCAGCCCCTGTCTGGGCACGCAGCGGTGCCCCCTGGGGTGCATCTGTGCCCGGCATGCTGCCAACCCCTGCAATGGGCAGAAAGGCAGGGGACCCAGGTCTGGGGACTGTCCTGGTGTCACACGGGTATTGCCCAGTGGGAGGGACTCACCCACCGCATCCACACTGAGCTCCCGCCGGTACTTGGTCTGGTTGGTGGTGGCATCCAGGACGCGGAGGTGGAGCTGGATGAAGAGCCGCACGTCCTGGCCGGGGAAGACGCAGACGTGCCGCATCCTGCCGGCCCCGCAGTGCCACGTGGAGACTGTGCATGCTGTGGGCACATCTCTGAGGAATGGAAAGCAGGGCCCTGCAGCACCTTATGCCTCCTGCCCAGAGCCAGGCTGGAGGACACCTGGGGCGCTTCACCAAGACATTGGTATCACCAGCTCCTTCCCTGTGCCCCCATCTACTGCAGGGCACCATCCCCATGGGACTGAGGGACAACCACCGTCCCATCCCTGCCACAGGGTGTGTGGTGGCTGCTGTGTAGCTTCCATGGGCTCTCCACCATCTCTCCTTGCGGCTGGGAGCCACTGGGATGGCATGGAGAGCTGTGGCACCCCGACCCTGCTGCTCTCTGTGCGGGCAAAGGGGAGGCTGGTTTGTGTCCCCCACCATCTCCTACCTGCTGTACCAGTAGTAGAAGTGGCACGTCTTGCTCGCCACATCCTCCTCCTCATCCCAGAAGCAGGTGAGGTCCTCAAAGGAGCGGGAGAAGCAAAGGATATCCTCGGGCACCCCTGCCAGCAGCGCAGCGTCTGGGAGGAGTGTGGGTGTCAAGGACCCCCTGGGCACAAACCTGTCCCCATCCCACCTGTGTCTCCCCACCCCGTGCCCGCTGACCGGCTTGTCTCTGA